TAAGAGCCCCAGGAAATAAATTTTTTGTTGTAACTTTTGAGAAATTTCCATTGTGAAACATAACATACACAGAATACAGATAACATATATATAATTTCAAATAATTATAAAAATCATAAGAATGAACACCTATACCCAATATCCAGTTTATGCAATGGAACATTACCACAAACTTTGAAGTCTTGTGTGCCCATCCCTCATTGAATGCACCCCACCCCAAACCTTAACTTGTCAATAGTCCTCATACACTTCATCGTTTTATCATTTCACCCTAACAAGATGCCTTGCTTTGCCTGGTTTTGAACTTGATACAAATGGAGAAATAAGAATTCCTCTGCAACTTGTTTAAAAATAAAATTTTTTTTTGAGACAAGGTCACACTGTCACCCAGGTTGGAGTGCAATGGCTCACTGTAACCTCCACCTCCCAAGCTCAAGTGATCCTCCTGCCTCAGCCTCCCAAGTAGCTGGAACTACAGGCGTGACCCAACACGCCTGGCTAATTTTTGCATTTTTACTAGAGACGGTGTTTCACCATATTGGCCAGGCTGGTCTCAAACTCCTGACCTCAAGTGATCTGCCTGCTTCAGATTCCCAAAGTGCCAGGATTACAGGTGTGAGCCACCACATCTGGCCTTAAATTTTTTTTTTTTGAGATGGAGTCTCACTCTGTCACCCAGGCTGGAGTGCAATGGTGCGATCTCTGCTCACTGCAACCTCGACTTCCCAGGCCCCAGGCTCAAGTGATTCTCCTGCCCTCAGCCTCCCAAGTATCTGGGATTACAGGAACATGTCACCAGGCCCAGGTAATTTTTTTGCAATTTTAGTAGAAACGAGGTTTCACCATGTTGGCCAGGCTGGTCTCCAACTCCCGACTTCAGGTGATCCACCTGCCTTGGCATCCCAAAGTGCTGGGTTTACAGGCATGAGCCACTGTGCCTGGCGAAATTTTTAAAATATGCTTTTGAGGTTTAATTTACATATAATAAAATGCATTCATTTTAGGGATATAAACTGAGTTTGACAAATGAACATACCCCCTTCACCATCATGTCAATCAAAATAAAGAGTATTTTCATTACCTGCAAATTGCCCCTCTCCCAGCCCAGGCAACATGATATACTCTCTTTTACAGTTATGCCTGTTCTAGAATTTCCTATAAATGGGGTGGAAGCATACAGTATATATATTCTTTTGTGAATGGCAGTTTGGCTTTTTTCACTCAGAATTTTTTTTTTTTTTTTGGTGAGATGGAGTGTCACTCATCTCCCAGGTTGGAGTAGAGTGGTATGATCTAGGCTCACTGCAACCTCCACCATCTGGGTTCAAGGCATTCTTCTGCCTCAGTGTCCCGAGTAGTTGGGATTACAGGTGTGCACCACCATGCTGGGCTAATCTTTTTCTTGTATTTTTAGTAGAGATGGAGTTTCACCATGTTGACTGGTCTGGTCTTGAACTACTGACCTCATGTGATCTGCCCACCCTGGCCTCCCAAAGTGCTGGGATTACAGGTGTGAGCCACCATGCCCGGCCCACTCAGCATGTTTTTGAGATTCATTTATGTTTGCAGTTTTTTTTCTTTCAAAAATATTTTGAGGATTTGTCTTTATATATTTATCTTCAGTTTATTTTCATTCCTTACACTATTCCAGAATATGAATATACCGCTATATCTATTTTTTAGAGACAAGGTTTTGCTCTTGCCCATGCTGGAGTGCATTGGTGCAATCCTAGCTCACTGCTATAACTCCTGGGTTCACGTGATACTCTGGCCTCAGCCTCCCAAAGTGCTAGGACTACCAGTGTGAGCCACTGCACTCAGTCCATATAATCATTTTAAAGTGGACATCTGAATTAAGTTTCCTCTTCAAACATTATGAATAATGCCACAATGAATAACCTTGTACATGTTTCCTGGTACAGATAAGCAAAAATTAATTTCTCTATGGTAGGAGAGGAACTGCTGGACCATGGATTAGGTACATGTGCAATCTTACAAAACAATGCCCAGTTATTTTCCAAAGTCGTTTTACTAATTTATATTTTCACTGGCAATGGTTGAGAATTTAGAAAACTTTTTTTTTTGAGACAGAGTCTCGCTCCATTGCCAGGCACCAGGCTGGAGTGCAGTGGCGCGATCTTAGCTCACTGCAACCTCTGCCTCCTGGTTTCAAGCAATTCTCCTGTCTCAGCCTCCCGAGTAACTGGGACTACAAGCGTGTGCCACCACGCCCAGCTAATTTTTGTATTTTTAGGAGAGACGGGTTTCGCCATGTTGGCCAGGATGGTCTCAATCTCTTGACCTAGTGATCGGCCCGCCTTGGCCTCCCAAAGTGCTGGGATTACAGACGTGAGCCACTATGCCCAGCCAGAAAACTTTTTTAAAGTAAAAGGAACATTGCTCTCAACTAGACTAAGGAACCCCTAAATACCCAAAGTTTTGATTGGTTCATGTTGTGCAAGAAACTAACTGTATGTCTCTCTCATGAGGCAGGCAGGAGGACTGTTAAGGTTTCAGGCCAGGACACCCTCCTAGAGCCTTTCCATGTAGCATGTTAGCAAAGAACAAACAGGGGAAGGTTAATAGCAATGGTTAAAGAAACTACAGTGCTCTAGGAGTTGAGGGAGTCATGAGCTCTAGCTCTACAACTAAACCGTTTATCATTCAACAAGAAATTACTGAGTACCTACTATGTGTAGGTCCCAGCTTTACAGTCGTGATCAAAACTGGCATGATGCCTGCATTCTTGAAGCTTAGGGTCTAGCAAAAGAGAGAGGCATGTTTTAAACAAATGCACAAACATAAAAAAAATATGGTAAATGCTATGAAGAAAAAATCAGAGGACCATGTGAAAATAGAGACGGGGAACATACTTTAAAATAGGTCATAAGCATTCCTTTTTTGGAAGTAACATTTAAGCTAAGATGAAAAGAATGAATGAGTCAGCCAAGTGAAGACCATTCCAGGTCACAGGAACAAGAGTGGAAAATTCAGCCAGTGGAGCTGGGTCCCAGTGATCTGGGGAGAGCCACGCAAAAGGAGGTTGGTTAGGGAAGCGGGTGTCTTACCGAAAAGTGAAAGACTAAAGAAACAGAATGAGTGTGGCAGTGGGGTATCAAGAGTTCTGGTTCACATATGTTGGGTTTGACATGTTTATTAGAAATCTAAGTGAAAATGTCAAGTAGTCAGTTGGCTATGTATGTATGGAACTCAGGAAAGAGTTCTGGGATAGAGAAAATTTCATCTGTAGGTAAAGCCAAGGAAAGGAAGACAATCACCTAATGAGAAGGTATAGAAAAAGATAAAAGACCACTGGGGTTATTCGCTTTCCTCTATGTCTTCTGGTAAACTGCTTCCTTTTCTTGGACTTGTTGGTAACACGAATGGTGGAATTAGATGATTTGTAAGTCTAAAGTCATGTAAAGGTAACTCTTCTCATTGCTCTCCGGTTAACCTTAATGATTATCTCAAACCCATCCTAAAACAAAATAAAACAAAAAACACTGGGTAGTTTAAGATGAACTGGGAAATATTTTACTACAAAGAGTTGGGAACTTCGATCCAAGCCTTTATTCTGCAGATACAGAAACAGAAGTTCCTGAGTGAGCCACATGCTTGCCACAGCAGTGAGCAGGCAAGCCAAGTTCCAAAGCGCACAGTGCCTGCTCAACTAAGTACGTACAAGGACAAGCGCACGCAAAGAAACATAAGAATTAAAGTCATCACTAAAGGCAGAGGAAATCTCATTCTTGTCCCTAAAAGATCCAGAGAAGTATGTTTAATTTGTGCCCTAAGGACCTACCTTGGGGGCATTGTGTCCCACAGGGACATGAGGTCCCCTTCGAGATTTCATTGCAAAGCGCATGATTTGCCTCTTCACAAAAATAAATAGCAGTACAAACACCAGGCTCCCGTAGGCCATCACCAGCACGACATTCACCCCGGATAGCCAGTTACTGCCGGACGCCATGGCCTCCCTACCTCGCGCAGATCGGGNCATTGTGTCCCACAGGGACATGAGGTCCCCTTCGAGATTTCATTGCAAAGCGCATGATTTGCCTCTTCACAAAAATAAATAGCAGTACAAACACCTGTGCAAAAAGACGTAAAAATCCTTTAATAAGACTTTTTTTTTTTTTTTTTTTTTTTTTATAATAGCATGCCATCATTCCAAATCCCCAGATTCCGGCTCTCAGGAATGCTTCAGGGTAAAACTTGGGGCACAGTAAGGCCGTTATGATGGGGGTGGATCTGATAAGCCGGATGCAGGGAGGCGCGGGGTCTGTGCTCTAGCGTTAGAGGGAGGGTTCTAGGCCAACAGCGAGGGGCAGGTTGGTCCCAGTCGGCGACTTAAACTCCCACCTACTCTGGGAATAGGAGTCAAAGCCCAGAAAGGCGCAGGTGAGTGGGTGGAGAATGAAAATGGGGAACAGCTCAAGAGGAGGGTCTCTACTGGGTAAGATGCAACAGCAGAAATGGGGTGGGGGAATCTCCTCACCAGGCTCCCGTAGGCCATCACCAGCACGACATTCACCCCGGATAGCCAGTTACTGCCGGACGCCATGGCCTCCCTACCTCGCGCAGATCGGGTTTACCCCGTTGTCCTGGCTGGTCAGCCCAGGCTCCGCCGAAGCGACGGCGCCCGGGTCCCCTGGAGCTCCCCGGCCATTTCCTTACGAGGGAACACCAAGCCAGACTCGGCCTGAAAACATGGCGGACGGGCAGGGGGGCTGGGAAAGGAGAACGACGCCTTCTAGCTTACCCCTGACACGTGACTGAGGCATGCAATAGCACCCGGGAGCCTCGAGCGCTGAGACACTGAACTACGACAGGAAGAGGAAGCGTCGGCCATCTGTGCGTCACGTGGTGGAGGCGGGGCCGCCGTGAAGGAGGCGGGGCGGACTCGCGGAGCCGGAAAGAGGTGTCTCGTGGCGTGGCGGCACGCGCACGTTTGCGTGCGCGCCACTTTTAGCGTCACGCGCCGGGGGACGCAGGAAGGCAAGTGGGCGGGGGAAGGCGCGAGAGCGAGCGCGAGAGGGAAAAGGAGGGAGGGGGTGGGGAACAGGGAATCTTATATCACGTGACAGGGGCGGCGCGGCCCGGGGTGTCAGTGTGGAGGAGACTGAGGTAAAGTTGGGAGCGCAGCGGCGTTGGTGGCAGCAGCGGCGGCAGCGGCAGCGCGGCGGGGCCGGGTATTGTCCGCGGCCCCTTTAAATCCGCGATCCCCCTTTTACCCTCCCTCTTTTCTCCCCTGCCCCCGCCGTATCCCCCTCCCTCGGTAGGCCCCCCCGCACCGTGTGTTCCCCCACTGTACACCCCCCTCCTAGTCATGCGAGCCCTGGCGCCCCCCCGTTGAGTCGGCCGCTGGAGGTTTTGTTTATGGTTGGGTTCGCGGCCTAGTGGGCCGCGCCAGAGCCGGGGCCTCGATTTGGGAGCGTGGCCGGGGCGGGGCTTGTAGCAGCCGTAGGAGGGGGGGGCCATGCGGCTAGAGCCTGAGAGGGGAGAGCGAGAAAGAGCGCGAGCGAGCGAGGCCTGGGCCTTGCCTGAGGTAGGGCCCTCTCTTTACCCCGGCCGGTGCCTGCGGAGGAGAGGGCCTCCTCCCTTTCCACCCACTGCGGGCCTCCTCTGATCCGGATCCGGCCTGGTTTGGGGGTGGCTGGGGGGAGGGCGGGCGATGGGGTGGAGCTGCCCCAGACTCCCCCATGTGGCCCTCAGTTTGGTGTGCGAAGGATTAATTTGTTCCAACTGGGAGGTAGGGAGGAGATTGGCCCCGTGGGCTCTCGATGTGGCGCTGAGGGGGCTGAGCCTCCCATCCTCCACGCGTGGGCTTGCGTCCCCCCTCTGTTTCCAGGCTCTTTGTCAGCTCTTCTTATTACCTTCCCTTCTTTCTCACCAACCCAGTTCTTGGAATATGTTTTTGCTGCTGTCTTTAGTTTACTGTTTATACCGTAGTTTGGGGTACCCCAAACAATTATGATGTTATTTGGGAGCTGGACATGGAGGCCCCCATAGGGTGTATTACGCTTTAGGGACGTCACTAGAGCACTGGGTTATTTGTTCACGCTTCTCATAATGGGACAGGAATGCCCAATTTCTTCAAACCCTTCACCTTGTGGACAGCCCTTAAATTGCTTTGCAAACTGATGTCACAAACTGGAGACTGCTCCTTTTCCATCATTCTTGAAATGTAGCCACCTCTGGTGTAGGATGTTGTGGAAAGAAAAACACCACAGTAACAGGCGTTTTTGTTGTTATTGTTAACGTTTTTGCCTTTGACTCTCCCTGATTATTACATGGAGAAATCCTTTTTTTGTCTTCTCTCCCATCCTGCCTTCCTCCGCCCCATATCCTGTTTGGGGGATACCCGATGTGACTTGCTGGGAGGTGATGGGCATTGCTAGTAACCAGCATTACTAGAGAATTAAAACATTTTGTCTGTGTATCAGTTGATAAAACTGCTTTGAGATCTGGGACCATTGTCCTTAGAGATTAGACTATCCCAATGGTTATAGAGAAAGCATTTAAAACCGCTTTGAGATCTGACACCATTGTCCTTAAAGATTAGACTGTCCCAATGATTGTTTCCTTTGTGAATGGGAAGTATTGCTGGCACGTAAATTAGTGATGAAAGGCCTAAAAATGTCCCCTGTTGTTTTTGATCTTTAAAGCTCCTCCTTGCTATGTCCTAACTGGGAAGTACTCTTACTAACTAGATTTCAAGGTGGTGGAGAAGGGGATGCAGGGTCCATTTCAACAAAGCATCTACAGAAATTAGTTGCTCTGTTAGGGTAGCAAGTTTTACCAAACCTAGTCCAGCTTCAGTTTCTGAATTGTTTCTAAAATTAGATTGTAAGCTCCCTGAGGGCAGCTACCAAGTCATACTGCTTTTGTATTTTCCTGAAGTATTGGACACATAGTAGATACTCAATAAATATTTGTTATTTAGTTTTTTCAGTGAAATTTCTCTGGCTATTTTTTTAAGTAGCTGGTTTTCCAAAAAGAGTTAAGGGCACTCCTGTGTTGAAACCTGTATTTACTCTCGCACTACTTCCTTGGTCTCCAATACTTCTTACCATACTTCCCTAGATCTTTTTATTTTCTAAGAAAGAGTAAGTGACAAGAATCTTCACCTCCAGTGTGATAATTCTGGGTATAGCTCTGCTTGCTACTAATTTTGTGCCTTCAAGTGATCCGTTCCAGATCACTAACTTTTGACCTGTTGCTGAGTGTTGTTACTAATAGGTGGTAAAATTTTCTTAGTCACATTTCGAAACACTTGTAAGAAGGAAATGTTACCAGCAAGAGTGATAGGAGGATTTTTTTTTTTTCTTTTCTGGTTAATTCTGTCTTTCAAGATGACTTTTTAATATGTTTACATCTGACTGGTACGGTATATGCAGTCATGTATAGCTAGTCATGCAGTTTATACCTGCAATATAACTTAACCTCACAAATTGTTATCACATGTGGAGTAGGAAACAGTATTTGTAAGTTACAGTAGTGGGATGGAGATGACTATGCTGTATTAGAAACCATCTTAGAGCCAATTTTAAAACAAAATAGTTTTCCTCTAGACTTGATAAATATGCACATATATGTGTATATATCGTCTTGTTGATTTGGATTCAGGGGTACTTGGTAAAACAACTTGGTTTTTTTTGTAAAGTTGAAACTTGACTCTAATGCTAACCTGGGAAAATGGGCTACCGTCTAGCAAGTAATGCTGGGCCTTTGTATACCCATATATGTAGGGGGAAAAGATGATGGGTTAAAATTACCCGAGGAAGCTGCCTTAAATATTTCTCCTATGCAACTTATTGACACAACTTGGTGAAGAATTTATTCACAGAAAAAGTTTACTTTCTCTGTGACATCCAAGAAAGTCAGATGAAATTCACTTCCCTAATAGTTAATCCTTGCATATTTCTTTAGAAGTCCTTCCTCCCACTCAAATCCAGCAATATCTCTGGGCAGTCTAGAATTATGCTGTATAATAAGGTTTCATTAACAAGAAAAATTAAATATGGAGCAGAAAAGTATAAACTTGTCCTCTTTGGAAGGGAATAAATGCAGAGTAACCTATTATTTTGAACACTCTATCATATGATGAGTGTTTTCTTTTTCACTAAATGCAGCAGCTGAGATTGTATTATAAAACAAAGTATGAAGTAAGGGAACTTGAATTCAGTAGAATCCTTTTTATTAGAAGTCTTATAACAAAAACTATATTCTGGTTTGGGGAAGGTCCTGTGTGTTCTCTGTCTCTTCAAAGACTCAACTAAGTCATCTTGCCTGCATTAATGTCTTAAGTTTAACATGATTTCCTAGAAGCCCTTTCTTCCAAATAAAACTTTGTGCTATATGCTTTTGGTTTGAGACAAATGTGAGATTCCCTGTATATTAAGGTGAGTGGCGGAGGGTAATACCATTCTGGTTTCTTGAAAGCATGTACTAGGAGACCAAGAGAAGCACCTGTAAAAGCAGCGTGTTGGAATTATTATCCAGAGAACTGATACTCTGGACAAAGTCATTGGGGCCAATACACTGTTGAAGGCTGTGGTTTAAAAAAACAAAAAACCCGACAAATACAATACAAACCCATAGCATACTGAGAGATGAAACTTGAGGGAGAAAGAAGTGTCTAGACTTGAACTTGCCCTTTCCCAAGCAATGGAGGTCACATGCAACTTACATAAAAAGGGTTGTAAGGCAGGTAAGGCTGTTTTCTTAGGTGATTGAATACAGTGCTTAAAATTATTTCTCTGGAGTGTAGACTGATCTTCTTCCTGGAAGGCTTTTGTTTCTAGACTTTACTGATTATCCTTCTTCTGTCAAAGGTACTTTATATTTGCACCTATATAAAAGGCTTTTGATTATTAGCTAAATGTAAAGTCTGCTTATAGGGGACTAGTAATCAAACTGTGCTGTAACTTCTTTAAAAAATCTATCGCATGTGCTTTATACATTTCTTGTTACATAAAAATGGATTAACAGCCATAGCTCCTTAAGGAATTTATCAAGCTAATTATGTTGTAAGAATAAGTGAGTCTTGATTTGTTCCTTTGAAGAAGTGAAAGTGTTTGGTGGTGAAGGTGCTGATGAAAGAGTTAAAAACATTTTGCCTGTATTTAATACCTAATTTTCTTTTTAAATCTTTCAGTATTCTACCTTGTAAATACTGTTATTTGTATATACTGTAAATGATGACGTCGGTGGGCACTAACCGAGCCCGGGGAAACTGGGAACAACCTCAGAACCAAAACCAGACACAGCACAAGCAGCGGCCACAGGTAAATAACCCAAGGCATATGGATTGGTGGATAGCATTGCTGGCAGATACTGGTTTCCATGCAGTACAGCATTATTCTGTGCTTTGAACTGTTGATTTAGGTTCTTATTTTTGTTTTCTAGTCCTTGGCTTTTTTTTTAACTTAGGTCCTGATAACTTTCATGACATGCTGTAAGGCAAAATGCTTACTTTTTTTTGTTTGATAATGTATTATGAGGTTTAGCACTTTATTATGGGTCCTGTGCTTGTATCTTTTTTTTTTTTTTTTGACAGTATCTCCCTTTGCCTTGATCAGAGTACAGTGGCACAGTCACCATTCATTTGTAGCCTCAACCTCTGGGGCTCAGGCGATCCTTCTGCCTTAGCCTCCTGAGTAGCTGGCACTACCAGTGCACACTACCATGTCAGGTTAATATTAACATTTTTGTAGAGGTAGGAGTCTTGCTACACACATCGCCCAGGCTGCTCTTGAACTCCTGGGATTATAGGTGTGAGCCACTGTGCTTGGCTCTATAACTCTTTTTTTTTTTTCTTTGCTTTTAGACGGAGTTTCACTCCGTCTCCAGGCTGGAGTGCAGTGGCACGATCTTGGCTCATTGCACCCTCCACCTCCCGGGTTCAAGTCATTCTGCCTCAGCCTCCTGAGTTGTTGGGATTACAGGCACCTGCCGCCACGCCCGGCTAATTTTTGCATTTTTACTAGAGACAGGGTTTCTCTACTAAAGAGAATGTTGGCCAGAGTACAGTAGTCTTTATTTCTTGACCTTGTGATTCTGTCCGCCTCGGCCTCCCAAAGTGTTGGGATTACAGGCATGGGCCATTGTGCCTGGTCCCGTCTCTATAACTCTTAAGATAGCATTTCTCTTCTCTCATCTGGGCCATTTTAGCAATACCTTTCTATTTCTTAGGCCTCCACCTTGATATCTTTTTGTTGTTTTTTGAGATGGAGTCTTATTCTGTCATCCAGGCTTGCATGCAATGGTGTGACCTCGGCTCGCTGCACCCTCAGCCTCCTGAGTTCAAGCAATTCTCCTGCCTCAGCTTCCTAAGTAGCTGGTATTACAGATGCATGCCACCGTGCCCGGCTAATATTTGTATTTTTAATAGAGATGGGGTTTCACCATATTGGCCAGTGTGGTCTCAAACTCCTGCCCTCAGGTGATTCACCTGCTTCGGCCTCCCAAAGTGCTGGGATAACAGGCATGAGCCACTGTGCCTGGCCTCACTTTGATATCTCTCTAGCCAACCTTTCCCATTCCAGATTTTATCCTTTGCTCCTCTTTTCCCTGACTTGTCTTTTATTTTCCTCTCTTGTCCCATTGAGACCTTACCTGTTTGTTCCTTTCTCATGAGGAGCTGGCTACTTCACTATGTTTCTTCAAAATTGAATGAGACACCATAGAACATTGCTCAATTTTAAGTCTTAAGGAGCAAATTAACCTCTTGGATATTAACTTTGATGTAGATATGTTTTGTTTCTCTTACCAGATTTCTGTTGGTTGGTATGTAATGTGAATGAATTACTTATATTTGACTATGGTCAGCTAAATTGAATATGTAAGATTAGAACTTTTCCCTTATGCATTTTTCTTTCACCTCTATTTTCAAGTGAATTTCTAGTAGAATTATAATACTTAATTGGGGCAGTAAAATTCCTAATATTTTAACATACACTGGATATACAGAAGATACATTGAGTCTATTGTCAGACTTGTAGTATTCTCAGCCCTAGGAATGAGAGGATGGTGTTGGTTGTTACAGAAATAGGAACAGAGTTTACACATGGCTTTGTGACTATATTTATGTGAATTAACAAGATGTTTTCGAGGGGTTCTGTGATTCTAAGATGAAAGTCCCTTTAACTGTGAACATTGGTGAATGAGCTCCCTGCCCTCTCTGTAACAGTTTCACTCAGTTTCTTGTCATTTTACTGATTTAAGCTTTTTTTTTTTTTTTTTGAGGAAGAATCTTGCTCTGTCTAGGTCCTAGGAGGGAGTGCAGTGGTGTGATCTCTGTTCACTGCAACTTCCTCCTCCTGGGTTTAAACAATTCTCCTGCCTCAGCCTCCTGAGTGGCTGGACCTACAGGTGTGTGCCACCATGCCCAGCTAATTTTTGTATTTTTAGTAGAAACTGGGTTTTGCCATGTTGGCCAGGCTGGTCTTGAACTACTGACCTCAGGTGATCTGCCTGCCTCAGGCTCCCAAAGTGCTGGAATTATAGGCGTGAGCCACCGCGCCTGTCCCTGATGTAAGCATCTGAAATGGTGTTTTATTACTTGCTCATTTGTAACAAGGTAAAGAAAATTGGGGCAGTGGAGATTGGCGAAATAGGTTCCTGTTCTCTAAACTGTTGCCTCAAGATTATGCTTTCTTGATCTCATCTCAATTCCTAGGCCACTGCAGAGCAAATTCGACTTGCACAGATGATTTCGGACCATAATGATGCTGACTTTGAGGAGAAGGTGAAACAAGTGAGTGTGTCACTAATTTACTGTATGCTATGGGAAAAGATACAGGATTAAGGCATAATCAAATACCATAGATGGATGCCAAGTTACTTTCTATTACAGTTACTGAAATAATTTTGGTCTGAAATATAATAGGTCAAGACAATAAATAAGTACTTTCATCCTTTAATTTATTGTAGCCCCCTCCCCCCCTTTTTTTTTTTGAGGCAAAATCTCACACAGTCGCCCAGGCTGGTGTGCAGTGGCATGATCTTGGCTCACTGCAGCCCCTGCCTCCCGAGTTCAAGCAGTTCTCCTGCCTCAGCCTCCCTAGTAGCTGGGATTTCAGGCGCGAACCACCATGCCCGGCTAAGTTTTAATATTTTTAGTAGAGATGGGGTTTCACCATGTTGGCTTCACTGGTGTCGAACTCCCTACTTCAGGTGATCTGCTTGCCTCAGCCTCCCAAAGTGCTGGGATTACAAGTGTGAGCCACTGCACCCAGTTTATTGTAGCCCTTTGCATAGATAACCTTGTTTGGAAATTGTATCTTCATTTTAACCTGTTGCCTATTGCTGATAATCATTTTGTAGAAACTGAGCTGTTGTGGATATAGGAAATGTGGAAATTCATGGTATGCTGAAGCCTGTGTGTTTCAGAGTTTGATTCTGTATTTGATGCTTAATTGCTTTGTAAATACTTTTGACCTCATCCTTGAACAACAGTTGTTAATATTTGGTTTTTGGAAATAGAATACCAAAATTCTACATGTTTTCCTTTTTGAGGGTAGGGTTCTGGTAAAATCGGAAAACCTGCTAGGCAAATTCTCCGTCCTTTTTCTGTATTTGTTAATTATTATTTCTTTTTGAGATGGAGTCTTGCTCTGTGGCCCAGGCTGGAGTGCAGTGCTGTGATCTTGGCTCACTACAACTTATGCCTCCTGGGTTAAAGTGATTCTCCTGCTTCAGCCTCCCGAGTTGCTGGGATTACAGGCACCTGCCACCACGCCTGGCTAATTTTTGTATCTTTAGTAGAGACAGGGTTTCACCATGTTGGTCAGGCTGGTCTCAAACTCCTGACCTCAGGTCATCCACCCACCTTGGCCTCCCAAAGTGCTGGGATTACAGGCGTGAGCCACTGTGCCCGGACCTCATCTTTTGCTTTTTAAACCCTTTTTTTTTCAAACTCAGCTGCTACTGTTTTCCTTCCTCTAGTTTCCTTTCATTGGGAATGTGAGCATAAGCTTGTTCATGATGGTTGCTGTTTTTTCTCTTTTAGTTGATTGATATTACGGGCAAGAACCAGGATGAATGTGTAATTGCTTTGCACGACTGCAATGGAGATGTCAACAGAGCCATCAATGTTCTTCTGGAAGGAAACCCAGACACGGTAGAGTGCTTATAGTGTTCTAGGACATGGGTCCTCAGTTGAGAGGCTAGTAATGTTCTAAAAGCAGCAAGTGGCAACACAGCTTAAAGCAGAGCACCATTTTCTCAAAGTAAAGTTAGGAACTTTTTTGGTGATTGTTCACCACGGCTTGCAAATACTTAAAATTTGTGTGTACTACATCCTTTTTATGAGGATAATGGTCATAGGAGAAAACAAGTGAAATCAGGCTCTGCTAATTGGCCTGGAATAAATTATTTATTCCAGGCTAGTGACTATTTTCAGGATGTGGGGTTAGGCTGAATTAGAGGTACAATTTGATAGCATTGGTTATCAAAGATTTCCACTTGTCTTTTTTATTGCTGTTGAACAAAGTCACTATAATTGATTCTGTTTTTTTTTTTTTTTTT